CTCGACGGGTTAATCTCGCGGGGACTGTCACGGTAGGAACAATTGTTGATATTTCAGCAGAGCATCGTTCATGAAAATATCTATGAAATGAAATCAGATCGTCAACTTTTCTACGGTGTTCTAGAGACGTGAGTGAGTTTCTGAGCGAGGCATCACCCCCGAGACGAATTGTCCTTTTTTGGACAGAATCCAACAGTTTCGGGGTATGTTTGGGTGCTGCACTCCAAATATGGGAACAGTATTCCAGGACAGGTCGGATCTGTGCCTTATAGATCATAAGGAGCTGACTGGAAGTGAAATAGCTCCTGGCCCGAAACAGAAAACCAAGTTTTTGGGATGCACTTTTAGCAATTGATCTCACGTGATTTTCCCAAGAAAGGTTATTGCTGATAGTGATACCAAGCATCGAAATGGATGTCTTCAAAGGTATGGTTAATCCTGACAAGCTTATGTTGGGCACAGTGAGATCGGCTTTTCTAGAGAAAAGGCATGCTTGTGTTTTGTTTGCATTGAAATCTACCAAGTTATTGGATCCCCATTCGAGAATGGTTGCCAAGTCCATATTTATGTTGTCAACATTTCTCCCTCGTTCGTTTCTGATTTGCCTGGCTGGTATTGGAGCCCTGGTAGAGAAGGCGGTATGGAGGGTACAATCAAATAATTGGTACAATCATCCGCGAAGCTGTGCACTGGACATGAAGTTGCTTCCAACAGATCGTTGATATGGAGTGGAAATAGTGTTGGTAAATAATAGCAATGAATAACCATATCTCACTGGTCTAGAGTTCCTAGGGTACGCGATATAACATATAAGAAACTTCAGACCAGTGAATAATGGTTATTCACCGCTATTATTTACTGATAAGAAAAATGGCTATCGTTTCGCTTGAGGAAGTACAACAGTAATGGACAAATAAATAATATAACATGTATCTTGAATTTTTAATTCTCTTAATGTCAACTGATTTATGATAAAACAGTTGTAAAAAATTAATTTATACATCAACGGCAATAGTAATCGTAGACAAAGTATAGTATTCTACTCGCATATAATGAGCTATTATTCACCCAGGTTAATTATGCCACTCTCTACGTTCGTGACATGAACTTAACCTTCGTGAATAATAGCCCTCATTATATGCTTGTTGAATAATATACTATGTGTTACGCAATAAAATAAAAAACAAGTCTATACCAGCGCGATTTCTCAGTTTTTCACAACTTCATTTGACCGAAGTTGGTAGAAATATATGTTCTCACAAGAAACTCGAAGTATGTACTATTTGTTTCAGTGAAATTTGCTAACGTAATTTTATTAGGCTGAATAAAATGTGACGAAACGACTTTAGTTGAATGAAGGATGTGTTGAATGGAATGATGAAAAATAAGTCGATATAGTAGCTCAATCTCTAAAGGTGGATTTATGAACACAGCTTTTTCATTAATCTGTTGCTTTCATTAACCGTCATTAAAGTTTTTTTTATTTAAGGACTATGATACCTTTATGCACCACCTTTTCTAATTTTAAACTCTTTTCCTTGATCAAAACAAAGTCCTCAGCGTTCTTAGCCCGATGAAAATATTTGTGTTATAACATTCAGTGATCACATAATTACAACAAGAATTCATTATACTTGATTATATTTCGGATTTTTCTCCTCGTAAATAAAAAAAAAATATGAGTATTATTTCAATAGATGTGTATAGTAGAACAAATCAGATGATTCGCCCCAAAATGTCACTGCGTTTAACACATTTTTCTATCAGGAAGCCTAAAAGAAAAATGCAATAGATTGTCAGTGACACTTTGTTTGAAAAAAATAAGAATCTTCAATTCATATTGTTTTCAGAGACTAATTTGAACATACGACTAGAATTTTCAGAATTTTCAACCACATTTTGGAAAAAGAAGAGGAAGGAATTGTTCACCTGACTTATGACAGAATCGCGCCTGCGCAAATCACAGTTTAATTTGTATTTGTCGTTAAGAGATAAAAGTTGGTCATCTTTTAGCGAATGATTTTAACTAATGATAAAATTCAATTTGGAAGCATAAATGAATGATCGTAAATACCAAGTTCCAACTTATCAGTGAAATCGTTAATGAATCAATGCATTTCTTGCACCATCTTGCACATAGGATCAATTCAAGAATTTCATAGAGATCTGGCAACAGTCGAGTGATTCCCAGCCGTCAGAACTCCAACCAATCATCACAGATCAGTAGCGTTTGAATTCACAAGTATTGAAATAGCGTTCTCAATATTAATTGATTCATTTGTTGTTCGATTTTCTCGATAAATATGTGGTCAGGATAACGTTTTTAACTTCATCCCTTCATAGCATTATAGCGAGAAAGAGTAAAATTTTACATACTAGAAAGGCCCATTCCTACCACAGAGAATTACAAAAAACGCGACTATTACGACATTATATGTCTCATAGAACACCTCATTTCATTTGAAACACCCTGTATCCCTACCAAAGATAATGGGTTATGATTTTCCTTATTATCTGATCTGATGCAATATGGAAATATCGATTCGATATTCGGGAGAATGTTATCGCAAATTGAATTTCTGCTCATTGTCTCCTTTATACGAATTTATCTGACGACCATCGTTTAGGGATTTTATTGTTATAATAAAATACAGTGAGCCACCCATAAATTTTTCTTCTGTGTGTCAAAGAGTTTATCTCTGCATTTCCTTTAATTGAAGTGCATTCAACCGAACTTGATGGACTTGGCTTCAAATAAAACGAGGCTAGATAATTATTTGGTACAAGTGTGAATACTCAATGGTACAGATCAGATCTGTGGTGGTACTAAGGCAGAACCCGATATGTCATAAAAAATCGAATTTTCGTTTTTAATTCCGAAATATATGCAGTCAGTTGCAAATAATGTGATGGCAAAACCCGATATGTATTTGAAGCTCTAACAATTTGTTACTAAATAAAAGGAGATTCTGATATGTTCCATTTACAAAAAGTGGTCTGCTGAAATACCCATCATGGTGCCCCGAGACTGGTTTCGGAGAGTAGAAAAGTGAAATAGTTCTGTTATGAGGAACCGTTTTTTTTTTATCGCTTGGAGCGCACGAAAGGGAATCCCTATAATGTTCAAAGAACATCGTGCGTTCCTAGGGAGGATAGGGACAGGAGGTAGGTATTGGAATTTTTTTTGAACTTTTGGAGATTATATGTTGTTGGGAATACTTCCACAGGCAATGAATTCCAGAGCCTAGCCGTTCTATGGATGAAGGAGTCTTGATAAAGTGCTGTTCGACATCTTTCGAGGTTGACAACGAAAGGATGTGCTGACTGGGCTTGTCTAGTTCGTCTGATTGGTATTGCTAGTGAAGGGATGATAGCAGAGATTTCCGAAGAACATTTCCCGTGGAAGTATCGATAGAAAAGTGTTCCAATGATGTCAAAGAGTGAGTGAGTGTGGCGTCACCCACCAGGCGAATGGCTCTTCTCTGGATGGAATCTAAGAGCATCAGTGTATGTTTTGGTGCTGGACCCCATATGTGGGAACAGTATTCTAGAACAGGCCGTATCTGCGCTTTGTAGATCATGAGAAGCTGTTGAGGTGTGAAGTAGCTTTTCGCACGGAACAAAAATCCGAGTTTTTGTGAAGCAGCTTTTGCGATGGATCTGACATGATTATCCCATGAAAGAGTGTTGCTGATGGAAATACCAAGCATAGATATGGTGGGCTTGGTGAGGATGGTGGAGCCAGACATTACAATATCGGGCATACTGAGTTCCGCCTTTCTAGAGAAAATACAGGCTTGAGTTTTGGTGGCGTTGAATTCAACTAGGTTGTTGGTTCTCCAGGCTGTGATTTCAGCAAGATCTTCATTGACAGCATTGACCTGCCTGCGCCGTGAGTTCTTAGTTTCCTGGGAAGAAATGGGAATTCTGGAAGAGAACGCAGTATGGAGGGTACTATCATCTGCAAAGCTGTGGATAGGGCAAGTTGTTACTCCCAACAGATCATTGATATGAAGAAGGAATAATGTTGGTGCCAAAATTGATCCTTGTGGAACTCCGGAATTGATGCCAATGGTATCAGACGATACACCGTCCACCACCACGTGAAGCGACCTGCCTGAAAGAAAACTCGATAAGAGATGGCATAGCTGAGGTGGTAAGCCGTATGATGGTAGTTTGTGGAGGAGTCCTTCGTGCCAAACACGGACGAATGCTTTCGATATGTCCAACGCGACAGCTAGAGATTCCCCGTGTTTTTCTATTGAGGCTTGCCATAAATGGGTGACGTAGGCAAGTAAATCTCCAGTAGATCTTCGCTCCTCCATCGCTTCCGTATCATTGTAAACGACTACGAGTTCTCTGCTATTTTTCACCAGCATAGATTGCGACGAGTTTCGTAGCCGAGGAAAAGAGATAGTCGAGTACATCTGCACCTACATGCAAAACTTGGAGAGCAGCGTTTTTTGAGTAAAATGATCTGGTTTCTCAAGCAAGATAATCTTGCTTCTTGACCAAATTTGAAAAGCACACATACTGCTCCTCCAGCGCTTCCGTACCAAAGTGAACGACCAAGATGAGTTCTCCTCTACTTTTTTCTAGCATGAGTTGTGACGAGATGGTCGAGTTCATCTGCAGCTATACATGCAGAACTTGGAGAGCAGCGTTTATCAAGCAAAATGTTCTGGCTCCTCAAGCAAGATGATCTTGCTTCCTCAACAAAATGAAAAAATATATACACCCTGCTCTTTTAGCGCTTCCGTGCTTGAGTGAACGACTAATACTTTTTCCAGCATGGATTGCGGCCAGTTCTGCAGGCGTAGCAAAGAGATGGTCCAGAACATCTACAGCTACATCCAGAACCTGAAGAGCAGCGCTCATCGATTCTCAAGAAAGATGATCTCGCTTCTTCAACAAAATATAAAAAAAAGATACATACTGCTCCACAATCGCTTCCGTACCATAGTTAACAACTAAATTGTTCTCTTCTACTTTCTTTCAGCATGGATTGCGACGAGTTCCGCAGCCGCGGCAAAGAGATGGTCGAGTACATCTGCAGCTACATGCAGAACCTGGAAAGTAGGCGCGTCACCCCCAACATCGAGCCTGGGTACCTCCGCAAGCTCATCCCCGAGCAGGCGCCCGATGCGCCTGAGGCCTGGGAGCACATCATGGAGGACGTGGAGAAGAAGATCATGCCGGGCGTGACGCATTGGCAGCATCCCAGGTTCCACGCTTACTTTCCGAGTGGGAACTCCTACCCTTCTATTCTGGGGGACATGCTGGCCGCTGGGGTGGGGTGCATTGGGTTCTCGTGGGTGAGCAGAATCAGGTGGAATAATTGTAGGATATAAACCCATCAGAGACTGAAGTGACACTTTTAATCACGATGCGGAAAGGAGGACTTCAATTCGTTTGGCATTGAAAAGAAATTCAGTTCCGTGGGTTACATACTATTTGGTCTACAACTATCAAGTTAACCATTCATTGCTACCTCCATTATTCGACAGTTAACATCAGTTGTTGCTGTCGTGAATTCACCAATTCAGTAATAATGACAGTACGATTTATTGATATTGTGACATACAGATCGTCTGCAAATTAGTTTCCCGCACACTCACGTGAGAGCGATTCGAATAGGCCCTAATCCTGGAAACGCATCATATTGATAACGTGGAGAAGAAGATCATGCCGGTCGTTACGCACTTGCAGCATCTCATTTTCCACTCTCACTTTCCGAGTGGGAATTGTTATCCGTCCATTTTGCTGCTAGCTGCTGGGGTAGGGTGCATTGGGTTCTCGTGGGTGAGCAGAATTAGGTGGAATAATTGTAGGTTATAAATCCAGGGACTAAAAAGAAAAAAAAAATTCAGTATCGTGGTTAACATACTATTTGGTCTAAAACTGTTGGGTTAACCGACAGTTAACATAAGTTGTTGTGAATCCACCAATTCAGTGATAATGACGAAAGGATTGAGTAATATTGTGACATCCAATCGTCTTCCCGGATTCAAATAGGTAGTTATGAGTTCTTCTAAAGTTCAGCTGTTTGTGAAAAACACGCAAATTTCAAAGACTCACTTTATATGGTTCTTATTGTTTCAGTTACCTTTATGGAGATACACAGAAAAATGAAAATTCATTGATTGAATTCATGAGTGGCCATGAAATAGGAAATGACAGTTTGTAGATCGTATGAAAATTAGTTTCCCGCACACTTACGGGCTATACTTTCCGATTGGGAATTGTTATCTGTCCATTTTGGTGGATATGCTAGCTGCTGGGGTAGGGTGCAATGGGTTCTCGTGGGTGAGCAGTGAATAATAGTAGATTATAAACCCATCAGAGACTAGTGGTTTGCACGTCCGTTTTCTAGTCTCGCATGGTCTATTATCGAGACGAGATTCAACATTGGCAGTAGGATTGAGTGATATTATGACATCCCATCGTCTTGCCTCTTGAAGACGCAAGATACGGGACAATACTCATACAAAACTCGTGACGAGACTTTCATTGGTCTCGTCTCTAGTCTTGTCCGAAATCTCGAAAAGACCAAGCGAGACCTTGCGAGAGTCTCAATTTGGAGTCTTGCATGGTCTTTCAGAGACGAGACTCAACAATGACATTAGGATTGAGTAATATATTATGGCTTTAGGAAATAGGTAGGTATGCGTTTTTCTAAATCACAGCACAATATACTACTGTTTGTGGAATACACAGAGTTAGTGACCATGACATAGGAATTGACAGTTTGTAAATCGATCATGGAAGCACTGGCAGCATCCCAGGTTCCACACTTACTTTCCGAGCGGGAACTCTAATCCGTCCATTGGTAGGGTGCATTGGGTTCTCGTGGGTGAGCAGAATCAGGAGGAATAATTATAGGTTATAAATCAAGGACTACAGTGACACTTTTAATCACGATGCGAAAAGGAGGACTATAATTCGTTTGGCATTAAAAAGAAATTCAGTTCCGTGATTTACATACTATTTGGTCTACAACTATCGAGTTAACCATTTATTGCTACCCCCAATATTCAACAGTTAACATCAGTTGTTGGTCTCCCATTCGCTCCTCCAGGACAGCAATGACTTCATCTAACATAGTCTGTATAATCGAATAATAGGACCAAAGAGATGAAGATTTCCTTACCTCACATCTCTTCTTGAAATATAAAAATTTAATATTTATAAATGAATATATATCTTTCAAACTCGAAAACGTGATTATCAATTATTGTTCCTTCATTTTTCCATCTCAGACTGGCATTTGAAAATTACTGTCTCATCATTAGATTAGATTAGATTTAGAATGGGGCCTTCGGGCTATCTGCCTCCACACCGCGACCTTTTCAGATCTATTGTGTCTGCCCTCAAAATCGATTAGAGTTCTTCGGCTAGCCCCGTCTTCTCTATGAGACTCCATAGGCTAGCTTTCAGATCCCCTGTGTATCTCTGGGCTTCTGGTTTTTCCTCACCCAGCGTAAGGAACCTTAGTCTTGACAAGCCCTTACAGTGGCAAAGTATGGGTCCTGCTGTTTCCTCCTCTTACTGACAGAAACTGCACAGCAGTTCTTCAGTCAGACCTATCGTACTCATGTGTTTGTTGAGCCTACAATGCCCTGTGAGAAGTCCCACTAGTATTCTAGTTGTACTTCGTTTCTGGCTTAGTAGATATTCTGTGAATGTTGGCGATGGTTTTTTAATAAACTCTTTTGCCTGTCTCATTCCTGGCGATTTGTTCTACCATTCATGAGATTTGGTTTGCATCCATGATTTGATACTAGTCTTTTGTATAGCTTTCGCAATACCACAGAAGGGTTCTGGGCCATTCAGAGCTTTGTTTGCTCCTGCTCGGGCAAGTGAGTCTGCCTCTTCATTGCCCTCGTACCCTGTATGTGCTGGTACCCATGCTAGAGTCAGTCTGTTCTGACTGCCCAGTGCATTCAAGGTTTCTAAGCAGTCCCATACTAGTTTTGAGTTAACTTGCATAGAGTTGACTGCTTTGATTGCCGCCTGGCTATCTGAATAGATTGCAATGGTTTTGCCTTTAAACTCTTGCCTTATCAATTCTTTCACGCAATGATGTATTGCAATAATTTCTGCCTGAAACACCGTCGACTGTCTCATCATAGATGTATAGAAAGTCAAAGTCTCATCAATATAACTCTGTACATAATTTTGTTTTACTGTAGGCATCAAGCCCTGCTCTGACTGAACTGGAAACTATTGTTTTAGATTGGCTAGGTGAGGACTTATATTAACTCATTCGATTCAAATATATTTTTGCAAATCAATTTTTAGGTAAAGCTATTGGTCTACCAGATCAATTTCTTGCTTTCAAAGAAGGCAGTAGAGGCGGCGGAGTTATTCAGGTGAGAAAATAATCGGTTTTTTTTCTGAAACTGTAAATTTTTCATTCACGTAATGATTTTGATTCTTGAAACGTTCATGTTGAGTATAAACAGGGTGTTTCATCAATATTGCACAGTATCGAGTTTTACCAAAAGCATCATTTTGGTGTAAAATTGAATGGTGTTCAAGTTTACATTGAATTTGGACTGAAAAATCTAACCTCAACAAAGTTGTTCAAAAGTACTCGGTACGAACCGTATAACTAGCGTCCTCTTTGAGTGTCAGATATGAAACCAAATTCATGCGGTGTGTCAGCTTTCAGAACACTTCCGTAGAAAATTTCATCACAATGGTGCCAGTAGTTTCGACATAATCGTAAAAAATGTGTAGAAAAAATATTTTTTCGACACCTTGTGTCTACCTACCCTAGCAAGGGGGTTAGTTTTTTTAAACACCCTGTATATATCCATTTCTTTGTGTTCATAAGTATATATGAGAATATTCCTTTTCGATACTTTCACCCATTCAAGGGGTTCAATAGACCTTAATCGCAGATTCGTGATTATAGGTTTTCTCAATTCAGAATTTTTTTCCACGTCCTGTATGATGAATATCAATTTATCATGCATCCAACAATTCATGGAATATTGGGTACGAATTCGAATTGTAAAAAGTTGCATCATCAGCAAACATTATATCCCAAGGTATCTTATGAACGTTGTGGGAATATAACTAGACTATTTTGTGCTGTCTGGGTATTTTTTTGCTCGTTTACTAAACTACTGATTGAGTCATTGGATTTCTTATTGCTTTTCGAATTGTAGACCTCTGCCAGCGAGTGCGTGCTTGTGTCGATGCTGGCCGCCAGAGCGCAGGCGCTCAAAAGGCTCAAGCACCAGCACCCCTTCGTGGAGGAGGGCCTGCTGCTGTCCAAGCTCATGGCCTACTGTTCCAGAGAGGCCCACTCGTGCGTCGAGAAGGCCGCCATGATTTGCTTCGTGAAGCTGAGGATCCTGGAGCCAGACGAGAAGTCTTCGTTGAGAGGGAAGACGCTGATGATGGTGAGTATTATAGGCATTCAACATCTTCGGTATGTTCTGAGAATAATAATACTAACGGTCTTGATGGAATCCCACCAATTGTGCACCAGAATTGACACTGATTCTCTGCAAGTTATTTATACCCTGATCAAATGGTGTTCACTACACCTTTTCAATTGTGCTTCAGAAAGCGTAAATTGTAATTCAGATTAGTCAAGTGAAATTGCGAATACTAGATTTTTCTATTGGAATTTAGAAAGCGTCAATTGATATTCGGAATACAACATTTTTCTACAAACGCTTAACAAAGTAGCCTTTGACGCTTTCAAATTCCAGCACAAAGTTGACGTTTTCCCAGAAATGTCATTCTTTGACAGCATTTGCGCTCGTGAGCGGAAATATTGAAAAAACGCTCGCACATCTTTGTAACCTATACTTATCTATTCTTAAACACCCCCAATTCTTTCATGATGGAAAATAGTGACAGTGAATCTGAATCAAACACACCTCCTGATGATATAGCAGAAAGTGCAAGAGTTTGAATCTCTTATACCGGAGAAATCAAGGAAGAAATTTGAATTACAATATGATACATACATAAATTGGTGCCACTTCGACATGGTGAATAGGTATTCAGAAAACGTTTTACTGGCTTATTTTGGTAAAAAATCATAGACTTAGAAGTCATCAACTCATTGGTCTATATGTATATTCGATGGTACGTATACATGCTTGAATGTTAAAGATAATATCGGAATCAATAAGTATCTGAAACTCATCGCATTCCTCAAGAATCAATCTATTGGATATAAAGCGAGAAAAATCCAAAACATTCACCGCTGAATATACCAAAAAATTTCTACAAGAAGCTCCCGATGAAGCATATCTTTTGAAAACGATGAATTATACTTTATATTCAAACTCTTTGTTGTCATCAGAAGGACAGAGTATCTTTATTTTATTGCATCAATGAGTAATGTTCAATTTGACTGCAGAGTTTATGGCTCAGAGGTCTGAAGCTCAGGTTGCCACGCTGGTGGTCCAGTTTCAATTCTCGGTAGGCCCGAAATTTTTTTTCTGGCTTGTCAGTTATTTCAATTTTTCTTTTTTTGTTTCCTTTGGACATATTATGGGATAATATGGATAAGAACTTTTTCAACTATTTCAATCGCTCATACTTTCAGGGTAGTTATTTCCAAAAGCTGCGTTAGTAGAAAAAATCTTGTGTGTATTTCGAGCACAAAGTGTTATTGCCGCTCTCCAAAGATTACCGCGCTCCGCTCCGCATCGCGCGGTAACTTTCTTTGTCGAGCGGCAATCTATCACTTTGCGCTCTAAATACACAAATAGCTATTGTAATTCAGAATGCAACAATTGTTATTCAGGCTACGTTATATATTCTTAATTCAAATAAGTAACATGAAATTCGGAAAATATCAATTGTAATTCAGATTAGACAAGTGAAATTCAGAAAACTCAAATTGTAATTCAGATTAGTCAAATGAAATTCTGAAAGCATCAATTGAAATTCAGATATCATCAATTGTAATTGAAAATGTGTCGATTATAATTCAGAATGATGGATTTATGAAGGTATTCATGTAGAACCAGCGACTTAAGAATTATGGAATTATTTTCATTGATGGTCAATTGAAATCAATTTCAATAGGTTAAATGGTGGAGTTATAATAGCAAACGTAATTTCCGAAAAAATATTGATTTGTAATTTTTTACCTACATTCATTACGCTTGGCTCAACAAGCCATATTCCTGAATTACAAATGAAGCTCCCTGAATTTCAATAGACTATTTCTGAATATCGATTGGCCAATCTGAATTGGAATTGATATTTTCTGAATTTCAATTGACTAATCTGAATTTCAACTGACGCTTTCTGAATTTCAATTAACTAATCTGAATTACAAATGACGTTAGTCTGAATTACAATTGACCAGTTCTGAATCACGACATATACATTCTGAATCACAAATGACACTTTCTGAATTTTAAATGCCGCTTTCTGAATTTCAAGTGACGCTTTCTGAATTTCAATTGATTAATCTGAATTACAATTGACGCTTTCTGAATTTCAATTGACTAATCTGAATAACATTCGATATTTCTTGAATTTCAATTAACTAATCCGAATTACAAATGATATTGTCCGAATTACACTTGACGCTTTCTGAATTGGAAAAAGTGTAGTACTTGTCCGGTATATGGTTTTCCAACGGAATCGTGATATGTTTCTAGGGGAAGCGAATCTGAAGTTTGCTGCCTCGTAGCAGTGCCGGCTCAGGTCGAAAAACTTAAGTAAACTCAACATTTTCGGAGTTTTTCCGGTTTTCTGTCCATATCATGCAAACGACGCACCGTACGGAGAATGTCACAGTATACAGAGTTAAAGAGCATAACATTTTACGTCGTTTTGTTGCGTTTTGTTGATAACCTGTGAAATAGACTGGGATGATTGTACAAGAAAACGGAATTAACCCGAATAATAGACTACAATGATTGTTCAAAGAAACAGAAGTTTCATGTTGGTAACCTCACTTGAACTTGTTACAACATTTTGAAAATTTTCAGCAAATGGAATATGAATGAGTTTTCTCATGTAATAGCATTCTTTGCATGGATTCAACGACAATAAGAAACACGGTACCTCACTGAAAATGATAATTTATCGATTCCACGAATCTTCAATGAAAAAATCCGTCTGGCAGCGACATAGGTCTTCTCCAATTCAATCGCAAATATCATATATACCTTCGAAATATAAATTTTCACTATTTTTACCCACTATAGTTGTTGGGTGAGAAAATCAGAAAAACAATAGCCGGATTAACCTCAAAAATCAACATTCAATATCGCCATTTTGTTCGATATTTCTCCTTGTCATCTTTTTCGTTCGAAATATATCGAGCAGCCAGAGCGAATAAGTTTTGAAATTGTTGGCGCGAATTCATAGAATATGTCAAGAAAACGCATGGAATAGGATATCACAGAACTAGGTTAGCGTCAACGGAATGCACCTATCAACTTTCCTTCTTCTCATCTTCATGAGGTCGATCTTGTCTTTCAGAAATGACAAGTTTTTACCAACTTCTGTGAAAACTGTGATAAAGGTACTTACTTTAAGACAACTGTGATTTGAGAACAGCTACTCTTCATTAAAAAATTGCCCAATATTCTTGTGACAGTTATGATGGCTATCAAGACTTCTCCAAACGTCTATCTGCTGAAACCAGGGAAGAGGAAAAGTCTCAGTTGCTGTACCAACCGCAGTTTGCAGTGGAACAAAATTTTGCCAAGCATATAATATTTCTTCAAGCGATTAGTGCATGCGACTCCACGTCAACTGTTTATCACCAAGGCCAGACTAAATTCTTGAAAACTCTCTCTAAACAAACAGATCCTGAAGAGACCGTTGGGAAATTCTTGGATCTGTCAGCCCAGCCAATAGTGATATTTCTGCTGCTGGTGAAGAATTTTGGGTTGCCCTGTACGGGGCTAACCATTGCAAGACTGGTCAATCTTGGTCTTGGCCTTGGTCTCGCGAAGCCCTAGGCAAGCATCATTAGAAAAATATAGGGAATTACTAGCTGTGGCCTTAGATATATTGGGAGCATTCGACCGTGTTTGGTACCAAGGGCATCTCAACAACTTACCTCATCTATGCTTATTTTTATCGAGTTTCATTTCAGACAGATAGCTCCATGGTATTGTCCTACCATACCTATCAATTCTGGAGTTCCACAAGTATCGATTTTGGCACCAACATTGTTCCTACCCCATATCAACACATTCAATCAATGATCTGGCAAAAGGCATGTTAACGCTCTCAATGTAGATATTGGTAAAATTACAGGCTGGGGAACCAACAACCTATCAGTTCCTCGAGATTTTGGTCATCGAAATATGATCACTTTGTGAATACATTTGGTGACATCTAAAGTAACTACTGCATCTCTATATTCCGTTTGTAATTCACCAGTATTAGGAAATATCACTTTGTCTCTTCTCTTCAAAATTCCAACTAAAATATCAAAATCGAAATGATACATGGTGTGTTATGAGGAGCTGTACATACTCCTACCACGAATAGAGGCCTCTGAGGGAAATACCTAATGTTCATCAGAAAGTTTCTTCTTCACTTCTTCTCCAATATATAGGGTGAATTTGTGAGATTTGGCAAAAATATCTTTTGGTCATAACTTTCGAACAGCTTCATCGCTTTGTCTGATTTTTTCATGTAATATTCCGCTACTACTCTCTAATCGACTGACTTATTCAGAATCGAAAAAATCCAGGACCGTTTTCGAAAAATTTTGATAGTTTAGTCAAAAGCAAAAAGTTCATCCTGTATATCGTCTTTGTAAACTGTGAAAGGGAATTTCCAAAGGTCACAAACAAACATCAGGAATATTTCAAATTTTCCTGACACTTTCACTTCAGTTTGAGAAAAACTATGAATTTTATGGAAAAAAAGAAAATTTGGCAAAACATGTATTTATTTGGAAATTAATACTTCGCCACCCATACATTTTACGAATAGAAGTGAGACATTTTCAATGCTTCAGCTCGATGGAAATCAACATATTATTTCATCTTTTTTGTGGAGGATAATAATTGTGGTCACTTTGGAGACCTGCAGAACATCTCTTTCCAAAGACTCGTTCATCCAACGAACAGCGAGGCTCTGGAACACATTGCCAAGGGAGGTGTTCCCCGAGGCATATAACCTCCAGAAATTCAAGAACACCAATTCCTACCTCATTTCCCTTGGTTTTCACGATGTTCTTTGAACATTAAAAGATGTCCCTTTTCGTGGGAACCAGAACATAAAAAAAAACCTGTAGATCTTTTTTGAATCAGTGGATGGGGTATCTATGAAAATGTTGATGGCCATCGCTACAGATAAACTTATGAATTCTATTCACAGTATTATCTATTCGATTTGTTTCATTCTGTTAATTTGGTCACTTATTTTCCACTCGAATTATTATCAGCCTTTGTCAGTA